CACACACACACACACACACACACACACACACACACACACACACACACACGCATATTAATACAGTAGCGCGGTTGCAAATTTAATAAATCTTGTTATTAAACACAGTGTATCTTGGAATCATTGGACAATTCTGAGACAATACTTCCTTCAAATAATTTAGAATATTGATAAATTTAACTCCCAAATAATACGTGATAGTTTGATAATTTGATAATTTTTTATTAACGACCATCAGAGAAAAATAAAGTGTACAATATGTTATAAAGAACAAGACGGAAAATAAACAGTAAATGTAGAATATTGAAATCATTAATTATGGAATATTTAGAACCGTTATTATTAAAATTTAATAATTACTGTTCTAAATATTTAATATTAAAATTTAATAGTACATGACAATTATTTATTCGAAATCAATTCTAGTTACGATCGAGTATTTAAGTAGAATAATAATTCATGCAATATGCATTATGTTTTTTATATTATTGAACTGGATTTTCTTTTTACTTTGTATAATTATTAATTATCCGTTAAATATTTTAAATAATTCCATTTATCGTTTCATGGTAAGTATTCACATTTAAAAGAACAATATGACGTGCATATTTTGAGTCCCAGGAAAGGGCCCAATTATTTATATTAAACAAGAGCCTTTTCCTGTCTAGCTACGCCACTAATTAAGCACCTACAATTAATAATATAATAATATAATATCAATTTCGTAGAATTGAGTTCAAGTCGGTCGACGCGACATATCACGGGTATTAACTAAATTTAATAAAATGTACTCCAATAGCTTTAAATACTAAGAAAAATTTAGAAAATATATTAAAATCTTAATCATATAAATATTAAAAACACATAAATATTCATCAGATTACACGAAAAAACAATGTATTTATATATATAATAACTTAAGCGATTTAAATTGTTATATTAATCTAGACAAAACAATACCATTATCAAACTTTAGTTATATGATGGATGTCACATGCAAATTTTTAAACGCTTTTATGTTCTTGAACAATTAGAGTAATAAGTTATAATGTATACTGAATCTAAGTAAACTTATTTTAAATGTTATAATGTCTTTTAAAACAATCATACTTTTGTTTAATTTATTTGCTTTAGATAAAATATTAGTATACTTGTATATTAAAAAAAATATGTATAATATAATGTATATAAATAAATTAAAAATGAATAAATTTTTTTGGGAAAGCAAAATTATGAAAAATAAATAAAACAATGTAAAATGTAAACATATAAAAGTAGAGAGAGATTCTTTCGAATCATCGTGAAAAACTGTTTTTAATTATTATACTTTACAAAATGATTACATAAAATATAAATCAATGTGCATAAAAACCTGTGGTTTTGTGGGATTGAATAAAAATGTAATTAAAACAATTAAGTTATCATGATATATACTCAATGATATATTATTTCAGTTGTAAATTGTAATTGTTCGGAAATCTTTTGAAAGATGAAAAAATCTATAATTTAAAAATAAATATACATACATTTCCAACTAATTGGTAATTTTAATTTACCATGAATTATTTTTGGGATCTGCAGAATCACAATATAATTTTTCAAGTCATTACTAATCAAGCAAGAAAGTTAATAATAACCTGTTTTTTATTTTTTATCTATTAAGGTGATTGGAATCAGTTAATTTCTGTTTATGTTTAGTGTCTATCACACGCGCAACATAGGGATTTATATATTTTCTATTTCTAACAAACCGATCAATTTAGTGATGTGATAAGGATATTGAAAACTGATCTGAATTTGTCAATCAATTAACTTGAGAAAGGCATTCTCACATTTAAAATTTTAAGTACATAATCTCTAGTAAAATAAATTTTAATTTAAAAATTAATATGGTCGACTTTTTTATAACAAAATAAATCAATAGGTACATTGGAAATGGAAATCGTCGAAGTTCCTTTTGAAAACGTGATAAAGACAAAAAGTTAACGCTTTAAATCTCTAACTCGATTGATTAGTATGTTGCACTAAATAAATTTGAATGACTCGGCGTTAATATTAAATAAACGTATGGGTTTTTGAATTAAAAACCAAGAAAACAAAATAAGCAATAAAAGGATCATTATATATTTTAGTAAAACATTGAAATTTTTTTTTTTGATCATCTAAAATAGAAAATATTTTCTGAAAGAGTTCCCATGATAAGAATCATAGTATATAGTCCACTATTTTTTACTTGAACAAATTAAGTCTTAGTAGGTCTAAGGTTAATAATAAAATAATAAGGA